CAAGACCCAAGATTGGAGGGACTGGGCGCAATTTTTAATTTTAAATTGATTACCTTATCTGTATCATAACATGATTCGACTCTGTTCTTTAACAATCTGGGCGTGCCTTCATCAAGATGACTTAGAATTTAGTCATCGTTCTGAACCTTTCATCTAATAAAGTTGAACAGCAACAAATCAAGGGCTATAGAAAGTGACATGTGCGTGACTTAAAACCAACAGATCTCTAACAATCTTGTATGGTATCGAGCTCATGTTGTGTCATTTCGTGCAGGAAGATGTGGCAGATTATCCAAGACCGACCGTCTGCTCATGTGCTGGTGGGCATTCACAGGGTTGACCCACATAATGATAGAGGGGCCCTTCGTCTTCACTCCTGATTTCTTCGATGAAGTTTGTAAGTTCTTGCCAGCATCGCCAGGAAAGAGAATTATCCAGTCAGAATATATTGTGGATGAGCTGAAATGACAGTGGCTGATTTCTACCTTGTTCAGGGAAAGAGTATAGTAAGGGGGACTCTAGGTATGTTGCTAGGGACGCCGCAACTGTTACGGTTGAAGGGATCACCGCTGTATTGGAAGGCCCTGCATCACTGCTTGCTGTGTATGTCTTCTCATCTCCCACTCGACTTACTTCTTCATATGCTGCCTACTTTGTTTCTTGTCCAACATATGTCCTGTCTAGTCAGCTGTTGTTTACCAAGTTCAATCAAACCTGGCTCTGCGATGGGGTTAAGATTTCAGGGTGTGCTGTGATGCCTTATTTTCCTGTTGGAAATGAGGCACTAAGATATTTGACTATTTACCTTCTCTTTCCTTGCAGCCTATCCCAACTTGCTTGGGACTAAAAGGCTTTTGTTATTGTTGTTTAGGGCTTGCTCTTCATGCTAGAGCATCATCGTCCTTTCAAGAGCACCAAAGAAAATTTAATGCTGAGGAATCAAAGAGCACCTCCGCACAGAGCGGGAGCTCTCTGCACTGAGTACACCCTTAATCAAAGAGCACCTCCGCTGCTCCACGTGTAGTTGGACACCTTGGCTCGCATTTGAACGTGCTTTTGGCAGCAGCTCTACTTGTTTGGATCAGTAGGTTTCTGTTTCCCTAGCTATTCGTCTTTTTTATGTGGTGGAAGTATGCAACTATTTCAGTTCTTACGATATGTTTTTTATTTCATATTGAAATCTGCATGATAGAAGGGCAGGTCTGGTGCAGTGGTGAGAGTTGTCTCACTGAGTCACCAGGTCGTAGGTTCGAAGCAACCTCTCCGCAGATTTTGCGGGGGAAAGGCTTGTCTCGGTTTATCCCTTCCCCAGACCCCACTCATGTGGGAGCCTCCGGCACTGCGTCTGCCCTTTTTTTTAGGAATCAAAGAGATCATGAACAACCGGAGCCTCATGTTCATGGGCTTTCTCGATGAGTATTTTTATTGCCCTGTGAAACGTGTGATATAGATTTGATTGAATCTAGAGGGGGATATCATGACCACATAACTAACCTATTTTAACTGAAGAATTATTGTGCATGCTGCAATGTTTGCTTTCACAAATTCTGCATGTAACTTTACAGATTCATAAACTTGGTTTGATATTGTTTATTGATTTTGGAAATAGTAATTACCGTATGCTATTACTGATCATCTCCTCATTGTTCTTCCCACTTCCTAGAGTCTAGAGACACTAGTTAGGTTGGAGATTTACACTAGATGTTTGGGAATTAGATGCATCAGTAAAGGCTTCAGTTATCATGTATTTTCAGATTTTCTTAGATCAAATTGATCCAACCAAAGCTTTCTACCAGTATATTGTTTCTAGTGATTTTTTTGCTCAAATCTGAAAAAAGCAGAGAAAAAACTCATCTTGACACCTTTTATAGTTGGAACATATATGTACAATTGGGAAGGTCCTTTATCCAGGGCCAAACTGCGAACATGTTACCTGTAACATGAGATTTAGTGAAGAACTGTTCTTCTTGTGTGAGTGTTTTCAAATCGTCCGATTAATCACGATTAGTCGAGAATTGGTCATTGGACATTGACCAGGTGCATCAAATCGATTAGTTTGGTTAGTTGACCGACCAATCAATTAATCGTCTATTAGTCACGAGTAGTCAGGCTTGATAGTTCCAGCCGCCTATGTATACACACAAAGCAACTTGGTTTTTTACTAGCCCCAATTGCATTCTCTCTAGTCTCTATTGCCTGCTACATGCTTTCGAAGTTAATGCCCTCAATGTATGGGTATTACAGCAGCGGCAACCGACTAGGGAGGTGATATGCCCGACTTGGTTAACAAGCCAACCAACTAATCAGTCCTAGCCTCCTAGGCGATGAGCGATGACTAGCTGTTAGAGTACGTCAGGGGCCTATTGGGCCTGGGTTGGCTGTATAGCTCATTAGTGTTAGGGTTAATTAGAGATAAGGGTCACTTACTTAAGGGTCAAGTAAGCCTTGCTTGAGAGTCAAGTAAACCTCTCTATATAAGGAGAGGAGATGTATCGATCTAATCAAGTAAGAATTAAGAAGGAAATCCCTTCCCTCTTGCTCGGCCGTGGGCAAGGCCCCCGGCCGGCCTCCAGCCTCCCTCGCAGCCCCAACCACCACATTTATGGTCATGAACAGTACCCGCTTCACTGTAGCACCGCGGATACTGTAGCCCGCCAAAGGCCGCCTCTCCCTCTCAATCCTAGCAGCCACGTAACACTAGCTGCGGTTAGTTGGCTAGTCTCTGCCCAGGCAACTATAGAAGACTTGAAAACACTGTTTGGATTCATAATATAGATTTTGCTTTTTGTCTCACCAATTTTTTTCTGCTTTTAGCTACGCTATTGCATCCCAGAAGTCCTTCAGCCATATTCTCCAGTTCACCGTTTGTCTGGGTCAGCTATACGGATGCTTGGTTTACTTTATCACCGCATACTTGGATGGCTTCAACTTCTGGGTCGGTCCATTCTACTTCTGGGCATATTTCATTGGCGCGAACAGTTTCTGGATTTGGATACCGATGCTCATTGCCATAAGATCCTGGAAGAAAATATGCGCAGCATTTCAAGCTGAAAAGGTGAAGACCAAATAAAAGCTGTCTTAGCCACCATTTGATTGGAATTAAGACTTGTACTGTGGAGAACCTCATTTGTTGTCTGAAATTCTTATGTTGCTTTTGGAAACTGCCTGTACTTCTTTGCTCAAACAACATTGTGATTTTTTTATGCAGAAAAATTGATTTTGTTTACAGGATTTCTGTTTTTTTTTCTGGGTGAAATATAAAGGGTTGCGAGTACCATCTCAGTTTTCACCTTAACTCTGGAACTCCTTTTCAGCAAATAAACGAGTGGACTCGATCTGTGTAGTTGATTTTTTCCAAAAAAACATGTTAGTAACGTCTGTCCTGATTATTGCTGGATGGGCATCATTTTTAACTACAGTCTGAAGTAACATGTTGAAAAACAATAATTAGGAATTAAGGATTACCACATGTTGGCATAAAATGTGCTGTAATTTGGTTGAATTGCACCTAGCAAATGCTGAGTGATGACAAATTCAAAAGGGGCTATTGCGTTCTTGCCCCTATTTTAACGTCCAATTGTGATTTTACCTCTGTTTTTTGAAAACGAAGCTTAACTTTACCCCTACTCCGGGAGCAGGTAACGGTGTCCTATATAGCATGGATACGGATACGCGTATTGGTATCGGAAGGATACGGATACGCGGATACGGCAATTTCTTAAACAACCCGATACGCGGATACATTTTAACTATTTTATTAATAAATAGATAACAATGTATATTAAATTGCAAAATAGATGTTCAACTTTAGGCCTCTCTAGAATGGTGACATGATCCCATAGCGGAGCCTTGATATCAGTTGTTTCTCTGGACCCAGATCCCACACTACCACTAGCAGTCCTAGCACTATCTGCACTACTCAAATTTGGAGATGCCATACTGGACAATGAACATTGGACAAAATCAAAAAGGCTCTAATCAGTAATGAGGAAGGGGTAATGGCCTTTGGCCTAATGGGGCATGGCGCACTGGCTCAGCTCTAAATTGGATTGGGGAGGGAGAGGAACTCACCTAGCGGGGGCTCCTTGTCGCCGGGCGGCGGGCGGAGGCTGGTCGGGGATGCCCTTGTCGCTGTTCAGCAGAATGCCCTGGCCGACCGTCTTCTCTCCGAACGCTTTCGTCAGGCGCATACTCATCGTGGGCGCGCCGGCGAGGCTTTGCGGGTCTCGGTGCCATCTTGAGCGTCGCTGCCCGAATCGGCGCCCGACAGTGCACGCCACGTCCGGCCCTCAAGGCGCGTGCGTGGCGAAAGGGACGGGCGTTGGTGGGCGAAGCCGCACGGGTCAAGGTGAGGGCGGAGGTCGGTTGCCGACGACGAGGGCGAGGCCGATCGGCGGCGACGACGGAGGCGGACTCATGGCGAGGCGGAGGCGGCTGGCCGCGGAGGCGGAAGCGAGGCGGCCGCGGTGGGAGACCGGGAGGGTCGGGAGACGGGAGTAGGGCAAAGGTGGGATGGTGGTAAGCTATTGGGCCGGTGGGCCGTGTCGATCGGGCCAAACGTTTCAATCGTTAGTTTCCAGCCCAATAAATAAGTTGGGATACGCGGACACGCCATGGATATGTATCCCTACCAGTATCCCAAAGCGTATCCGTGATCTCGGAACGATTCGATCGGGATACGCCCTTCCCCGCCGTGTCCGTGCTTACGAGACGGTGTCAAATGGGCTCGATGAGGACAAGTTTGCCCATGCGAAATTGCCCCTACTTATCTCGAATACATTGTGATTTTACCCTGTTTTTTTTAAATTTGGCGAAGATCATTGCACAACTTGTTACATATGATTCCACACAAAGATGCAAATATAGATAGATAATATCACATCAAATGAAAGTGTAGCAAAAGTATCCATACAAGATGATCAAGCCTCATCCAACATACAAGTCCAACAAAAGCGGTAGCTAATAGTGAGATATTACATGTTCAGTGTCATACATCACATTCATGCATCTATTCCTAACAATGCACCCAACCTCCCTCCTCTTCCTCTTCCTCTTCCTCTTCCTTTTGTTCCAGCCCCTTCTGCTCCTTCTGTTCTAGGTCCTACACTTGCACTTCCTCTTCCTCTTCCCTTTCCCCTTCCCCTTGCACTTGCACTTCATATGAATGGAGAAAAATGGTTCATTAAACAAGTTGACTAAATAAGCATGAGTAAAGAAGCAAAAAAATACAAATGAGCATGACTCACATTTCTTATGAAGATGATTCATTTTGAGAAGATGAGCGATTCCTCTTTTGACTAGCAGTTGGACCTCCATGACAATGCTTCGCTATATGGCCTAGTTCATTACCTTCAGAACACGATCTCCTTTTCTTACTGGTGGTGGCCTCATCATAGGACTTGATCCTAGAATTTCTTAGTCTTCCTGGTTTCCTTCTCAGTTTAGGCTTCTTGATTTTATGGCCAATTATTTTTGGATGTCATTGGATTGAAAGAACATGCATATGCCTTTTTTAACCGATCAACAGGGAAGTATTCATGCACAAAGTCATCTATTCGTACCTCTCTACTAATCTTATAAATGAAAGCTAAAGCATGGGTGCAGGGCAGTCCAGTTACTTGCCAAGCCCTACAAGTACATGTTTTTTGTCCTAAGTTGATTGCGTACCTGAATCTGTTCACAGTTACTTCAGCTATTCTAGCCCCACATATCAATACCTCATGGCCCTTGATACTCTTAGCTTTAGCATTTAGAGCATCGGTCACAACTGGAATGATTGTGCCTGACATTTTACTAGCAATCTTAGCTCTCAAAACAAATTGCTCAATGATCATTTGTCTTATCTTGTCATGCATATCCACAATTTGAAAATCCTTGGTTTTGGACACCCAACTGTTAAAGCTTTTCAGAGAGGTTGTTGTTGATATAATCTACCTTGCATTCTTCCCCAAATTTGCTTCTACTCCACATAAATGGATGGTTGTCATCCAACCAGGCTAGTGCACTAGGATCATTCTCCTCTATGTTTCGCATGTACTTGAACTTGTCATTTGTGAAGCTCTTGGCAGCTGCCCACATATTCTTACCATAAAGCTCACCACTATACACATTCTTCTTCATGTTCTTCCACAAGTGCACCTCATGCATTCTCTATGTTCCACTCCTGGGTACACATCATGTACAGCCACCTCAAGTCCTTTGCCCGCATCTGTACTAATGACCAAGCCTATAGGAGTACCAATAGCCTTCTTTAAGTTTGTCACAAACCAAGTCCAACTTTCCTTAGACTTGGTCTCAATCACACCATAAGCCACTGGAAATAAGCAGTTTTGACTATCCACTACAACAGCTGTTGTTAACTGACCCCTTCCCCTTTCAGTCAAGTGTGTGGCATCCATGGCAATGTAAGGCCTGCATCCTTACAAGAACCCATCAATGCATGGTTTAAGAGCAACAAAGAACATACTGAAACACAAATCACCATTGTCATCTTCTTCAGTGTCTATGTCAACGATGCTACTAGGTACTACTTTTAGAAGCTCAGCTTGATAAGTTGGTAGCAAGTTATAACTATCATTCCACTTCCCATATATGATGTCCATTGCCCTTAGCTTGCCTCTAAAAACTCTATCGTATGGAACTTCTATCGAGTACTTCTTCATGATCCTATCTTGCAACTCCTTTGGTCTCATTTCAGGGTCTTCCCGCAGTAAATCGACAACTCTTTCAGCTACCCATTTATTGGAGGCCATTGTTTCACCACAATTGTTGAATGAACCACAAGTATGCTTTGGACCACTAGTCTTAACCTGCAAAAAAACAGCAAGAAAAGAACCATTTTATTAGTAAATTGCTGCACACTAATATTTCTTACTTGATGCTGAATGTTAATTTTTTTTTTGAAATGACCTTGCAGCCAATGTACTTATGTACTGTTTTGAACCCCACATGTAGTGCTTAACTATGAAATTAACTAGTTGCAGTAGGTCAAAGCTATGCATATCAACAACTTGAGTAGGCAAGAGTCTACCCTGTCGCCATGATTTTGGTCCCCCATCAGGCAAACTGAAAAATGACAACTCTAACAACAAGGCTCATATCCATGTGATTTGGCCTACAAATCACATCACCGAATACACATTTAGCTAAATTGCTCTACAAACATAAACTCATTCTTCCTATAGATTGATACTAATTTTCCTACAGACCAAATCACATGAGCTCCAAATCTTACCTAGTCTCTTCACCAACGTCGCATTAATCCATCTCGCCGAGGTCGCTGCTCCTGTCCTCGCGTGGCGTAGCACCTGGAGGCCTGCCTGCTCGAGGCGCCTGTCGCCCGACCACGTTGGGCCCTGTCCGCTCCCGCACCACCTGGCCGCCCGCGCGCGCACGGCACCCCTGGCCGCCAGCGACGCGCGGCGCCCAGCAGCCCACAACGCGCGGCACGCCTGGCTGCCCGCGACGCGCCCCGCTCTGGCCGCTCGGGGCCGCACCCGTGCCCTCCTCACACGGCGCTATGACCCGCCCAGAAGCTTTCGTGCCCTCGTCGCCCAGCCGCACCCGCTAGGGTTTCAGAGAACGAGAGAGATAGAGAGGATACGGTAGAGAGAATGGAGAATTGGGGAAGGTATGATTGGATAAGGGGTATTATTGTCCTTTGGTCTTATTATGAAGGGTTTTGTTGTTTTTTAATTTTTTGTATTCCGGAAAAACTAACAGAGTTAAAAGTAGGGATAAACTGAGCCTTAGTAGTTACAAAACAGGAGTAAAATCACAACGATGACAAAACAAGGGTAAAATCACAATTGGACATCAAAATAGGGGCAAGAACACAATATTCCCGATTCAAAAGTACAGCTCTGATAACAAATGAGAACAATGACCAAGAAAAGCAATAGCAGAATTGACAAGATGAAACCCCAGGCACAGGCATCAGCCATCACTTTTGTAATTTACAGACTCGTCAAGTAATCACTCGTTTTCTATCTAAACCTACAGGCACACAGGATATGATTACATATGGAAATCTGATTTACATACATCTACATTTTACACATGTAGATTTATATAATGTTTTGTCGAACCAAGGGCACCCTTAACTATCCAACACGAAATTTGCAGCAACAAGTTTTCAGTAATTTACGTTGAGCAATAACAAATATTGGGAGATAAGAGTTAACCCAACACCAAAAGGAATTGATTGCATTCCAAATGTCTCTAGAAACAGGCAACCAAAAAAAACCTCACAATAGGCAATACAAAATGCCATTGACAATGGCAAACAACATCAGACCCCCAAAAATCTAGATTCGGTGTTCTACCACTCGAGAATATCCTCGCTAGTCGAAACCTACTCATAAACATAAAGGGCGTGCCAGGCAGAGAGAGCTCCCGCCTGTGCATGGGTCTAGAAAAGGTGTCAATGGCAACCTTACCTCGCTTGTGCAATGCGAGGAGACCGCGACTCGAACCCGGGACCTTCCGGTCACAGGCGGTAAGACTCTACCGCTTGCACCAGGCCCGCCCTTCAACCTACTCATAAACATACAACAACAAAATCGCCATACACACAGAAATTACGGTACACAGCTTTCATAAGCAGGCAAGACCCTGCAACAAAGTCAGATATTCAGATTGGCCGTCTCTCTAATCTCTTGGGCATTGATGTTGCTCCTCAATTCAGCACTCTAGCTCCAATAACAAAATTGTCTCAACTCCGCCGCTGGCTAAAAACTAAGGGGGTTGAAAAAAAAAACTGCAGTCATTCTCAAAGGACAACAGCTGCCTTGTCTGGAGTAACATGCTGGAGGACAGTGGCGATCAAAGGCTCATAATGGTCGGCACCAGCACCACACCATGCTGCAAGTATTAAATTTGTACAGTCTACTTAAGCATGGATGTGTCACTAAATAGAAACACAGGAATAGAGATTGATGTGCATTGTGCAGATTATATTGATTTGCTGATGAAAGCACAGCCATGTTTGCATCTGCAACGCACCTGTTCCTTTCATGAAAAGAAAAATTGGCGGTTCACAAATTTCTCCTCTAGGACGGTGTGGGAGGAAGAACACACAGCTATCCTCGTCAACCATTGCATCTGCTCCATGAGCTTGCACCTATCAAGGCAAAGAAAATGGCCCAAAATCATATTACAAAGGCTATTTCAGCTATCAAATAGAGATACAATAGTGTCCAGTTCTATAATGAGCTATAATTGGGCAACATATCATATTCATGTGTTAAAAAAAATACCACGTAAACTTCTCTCTTGAACTCAGTTGCTAGGCATTCAATGGCAATATCATCACCAAATGCAGCTGCACGGCCATCTCGGTTCTCATCTATTGTCAGCAACCCCTCCTCTGTGTACTGCAGGGTGATAATGTCATGCTCATCCTCTGCAGAACCAGAAATGGACATGTACTTGGTCCAACTATCACCATTGTCTACAGTGATACATCTTTCCTTGTAGATAGTTTCAGCTGCTATTTCCCTGAAAGGAAGACATGATATATGAGCACATAACTGGATTTTGGAGGCACAGAGAGCTAGCCAGCCTCTGTGGGTGTCACAACTGAACAGGTACAGGAAACCTAAGCTGATTAGTACTAAACAACTTCAGATTCTTTGATTAATTAAGATGTAGGAGTACAGCTGTACCGGTCAAACATGGGAGTACTAAATGATGTATTGGAAATAACAGGGTGGACAAGCGTTGGCTCCCATTACATCAACACTTGCGTCGCAATACTTAAAAAGACGATTCCATCCTTCATTGACCTTTTTTATTTCAAGGATACAACGCAGACACCTTGTGAGGCGATGTCCTGCATCTCCTTGATGCCAAAGCCCACAAGATTGCATCAATCCGTGCTTGTGAGTGTAATGAAATTCAGGAAGAGCTAAAGAGACACGAACTGCTATATGTAAATTAGCTTAAAAATAAACTTTAATAATCTCAAGAAGCCAAGAACACTATTTGGGCGGGGAAACACAGGATATATTCTTTCAAGGTGTTAAGAAAACGACATTGTACGGGCGTATGATTAGACGAAGAGCAAGAATGGCAAAATCATCAGCAAGGCATACGAAAAAGACAAGGCCTTTAGATCCTAACGTGGCGAGAAAATCAAATAAAAGATTTGAGCAAGCAGTGAGCAGCGAGCAAGGGCAGATCCGCGAGTCGTGGTACCTTTGGATGCCGAGATCAACGAGCTCCTGGATGGCGGCGTCGAGCGCGTCGCGCTGGGCCTTGGGCACGAGCACCTTCATCTCCTGCACGACGTGGACGCCCCACCCGGCCTTGAGATCCGGCGCGTAGAGGTGCCTCACGGCGGCGTCGACGGCGGCCTTGTCGTCCTCCCCCGCGGCGGTGTAGACCTCGGCGAACCGGCGCACGGCGCGGTGCCTGAGCTCGCGCGCGTTGGCCTTGGCAGCGGCGGCCGTCCGCGCGGCGGTGAAGAGGCAGTTGCCATCGGCGTCGACCTCCCCGCCGTGGTCGAGGCGGAAGACCACGGGCGCCGGCGCCGGCGCAGCCCCTTCGGCGCCCGGCGAGGAGGGCTTCCACGCGACGCCGCGCTCCCAGATCCGGTGGAGGCGGCGGCGCTGCTGGTCCTCGAGCGCCCAGACCGCGTCCCAGCCCGTGGGCGAGGTGGAGGGCTCGGGGGAGGGGGCCGGGGAGGACCAGGCGAGGAGCGGCAGCGGCGGAGCGGGGGCTGGCGACGGCGGCAGGGCCTCGGCGACGGCGGCGGCGGAAGGGTCGCAGAGAAGCTTGCCCATTTCGATTAGGGTTTCTCTCTCCTCCGCTTCTTCCTCCTCGCCCTTTCCTCTTCCTTGTTAGGTGGCGCGCTCTTTCTCTCTTTTTTTTTCGCTTTCTTTTTTGCGGTCAGAAGCGACAGGCGGGGACTCGGGACGCCGGCGATGTGCTGGGGAAAATGGTGAAATAGCCGTTGGGTAAGAGGTGGGTGGCCACGTGGGGAGGAGTGAGTGGTTGTGGTGATTGTGCCGCCGGCGCACCGTAGAAGTGACCGTTGCTGGCTGATCTGGCTGGTCTCATGACGTGTGGAGCCAGCTGGACCACAATTACCATCTACTCCTACCCATTACGAGTTTACGACCCTGGATTTGTAGAATCTTCATTAATGGTACCAACTCAACCCTCCGTCCTCCTATCTACTCTTGGGTTGTCCATTCTTAAAATCTTATACACCAATAATTTAGCTAACAATTTTTAATTATTATAATACAAAAATAATATAGTTAGATTTGTAATTAAATATAGTATCTAATCACTGTATATTTATAGGTAAGATAATATAACATTAAATAAATAGTTAAAATCTAATTTGGGAGATTGTATCATATCAAGGTGTGTTTTATAAAAAGAAATGAAGGGAGTAACAGTATACAATTGCAAAATCCGGTCTCAGTGAAAAGCTTCATCTAAGTTTTATCTCAACCTAATAGCTTGCTACGTAGACATTTTTTTAATGACATGATAAGGTTTTTAATAAGAATGACAACTGTAATTTGGGAGATCCTATCATATCAAGCCGCATTAGCACCCCAAGAGCATGCATAGCTTCATCTCTGGGCCAACAACTGGTACAAAGCATGTGTACATGGGTGAAAGTGGAGCTGATAATTCTCCGGATCCAAATTTGAATTTTGAGGATACAGGGAAGAACTTTTAGTATCCATGCAGATACGGATAATCCGAATCCGAGTGTGTCTAGATGCGGGGTAGGTTATGGAATCGTCAAAATCTAGGGATATGGTTTATCTATAAATTCTATGCGGATTATTCGATGTTTAAAATAGAATATCCGATAATTTATCCTCCTAAAACCAGAGGAATTCAGGATCCGCGCTCTCCCAGCTCTCCTATGCACTGTTTGCATACGACGCACCATTTTGCGCGTTGACAGGCTATAGAGTACGCTCTTCGTTGTGTTATTATTCTAGTTACATCTCCTGTAATTCTTGGATAATGTAATATAAAAAATCATTGAATTTTTCATGAAAATGGTACATACAAAATATATTTTAGAGTGCTCCTTCCGTCCTTGAATGTCTATTGTTTTTCTTCCTGGGAAACAACTCTGACTAAATATGTATTAAAAATATTAATATTTATGATACATAATTAGTATCATTGGATAGATATTTGAATCTAGTTTTTAATAAATTTATTTGAAGATAGAAATGTTGCATCTATTTTCTATAAATCGAATCAAAGTTATCGGCACGCAAATCGTGGCGACAAACATTTAGGGACAGAGAGAGTACATTTTACCGGTGGTCCTCAAACTTGTCTCAAGTTCTTATTCTGGTACCGTTACTGCTTGCAAATTGCACACTCGGCTTGCTAAACTTGTCTTGAGTTATCATCCCGATACGGACACATGTAAATTACACACTCGGCTCCATAAACTTATATTGATGCTCATCCTAGTCTAATGCCTCCCCCGCATCGTGCTACCTGACCCCGCACACCTACTCCGCGCTGCACCGCCCTCGCTTTGCAACCCCCGTGCCATGCGCTATGTTGTTGGGCATGATGCTGCACCCATGCTGCCACACTAGGACTTGCTGCGCCCGCACACGTTGTGCGTTGCGCTCACCCTGCCATTCCACAGCGACATACCTACACGCGTGCGTTGCCATGTTGACTTGTCGAGGCGCCTCGCGCTACTCACATTAGTGTAGGCAAGCATGTCCACGCGAGATGAGTTCATCACAACAGAAAGGAGGAAAGTCAGGAGGGCGCGGAGCGTGCAGAAGGAGATGGTGAGCATAAGAGCCACACTGTTGGGGAGAGTACGTACGGGTATCAGTGTCGAGCGTGACTGTCATGGGGCGTGGGCCGGTGAGCAAGAGCGAGCCAAGAAAGGGCTAGAAGGACCACGATGATGGGGGTTTAGCAGGATCTGGCATGGAAGTGCGCGGGTACGACAATATACAAATTTAAGAAACTAAGTGTGTTATTTGCATGTACTAGGACATTAATGAGAACTCAAAATAAGTTTAGGGATCCTAATGTATAAGTGTAAAGAGCCAAGTGTGCAATTTGCGGATATTAGGACTAGAATGAAAACTCGGGACAAGTCCAAGGATCATACACAAAATTTACTCTCTTTTTTTTCACGATCGAACGAAGAAAACGAATAAATATAGTCTGATAGTCGTGGACCAACAGTCCAACACGGCATGAAGGTAGGCACACGATGACATGACATAAAGGTGGTCTGACTTGCTACGAGCGGCAATGAACCGGCATGCCTCGCTTTCCCACGTCCCCTTGTTAACACTTCAAAGCTTAGCAGTAAAAAAAAACACTTCAAAGCTTTAAAGATACGACTTCTAAGCATTGGAAGTTTTATTCCAGTACGTGTGTTTCTTGCATTTTAATTAAGTTGTAGAATTACACAGTGTACAAGACGAATACGCATAGATCCTTTTTTTTCTCCTCTTCCAACGGCAATTATACAACTAATGCCCAACTTGCATGTATAGTTTTAAGTTCACGTGCTATTGTTAATGAAAGGTACATGAGAGGTGACAATGGACCGAAATACCGAATCATCATTAATTAGGTTTTTTTAACGCTTTTATGTTTCGTAAGTATGAATTGAAATATATTTTACAATTGTATATTTATATTTTAGTTACTCCCTCCATTTTAAATTATAAGTCATTTCAAAAATCTTAGAAAGTCAAATCATATTTAGTTTGACCAAAATAATAGAGAAAAATAAAAATATTTATGACATCAATAGATATACCATGAAAATATAATTAATGAAGAATTTAATGATGCTTAGTTGGTATCATAAATTATATTAACTTAGTATACAAATTTGATAAAACTTGATATCATAAATGTTATTATCTTAGTATATAAATCTGATAAAATTTGAGATGCTTTGACTCTACGAGAAAGTTAAAATAACTTATAATTTGTGAAGGAGGGAGCATGTTATATCTGTACTATTAGACTCATGCTTGCATACATGAGATGACCCTAGGCATGAAAATCAACCAGCTCGGCCACTACCTCTGCTCCCGATCGATCGATGAAGTGATCGATGATTCGTTCTAGGGTCTTCACGGAACGTAGTTGACGTCGTCGGCGGAGTCCATGGAGGACTGGATGTCCGGGGCGTACCATCCGAGCTCCTGCGAGATGGCCGCAATCCTCTGCTTCTGGCCCTTGGAGTCACCGACGGCGGTGGTGAAGGGGTAGACGAAGGTGACCTTGGTGGCCATGCACCGGTACGCCACCACGCCGGCGTCTTTCTTCACCAGGAACTCCATCACGTCCCGGCCAACACCGCCGTCCATCTCCGCCTCGATGTAGTGACCATATTGAGTGTCTTCATCGACCTTGAAGTCCACGTTACTCTGCGTCTTCTCGATGGCTTGCCGCAACGACTGCAGGTATATACCCGGCCACCACAGGCACAAAAGTACGAGATCAATTAAGGAATCCAAAAGCAAGCGTTACACGAGATCGACGTTAATTACGTTCAATTTGGAAATTAAAAGAGCTAGAAATTGCATAGTAATGTTTGCACTTTTATCTGCAGAAAGGAGCTAGAAGCGCGTGGAATCGGTTCAGAGATCGGCAGTAGCTAGTGACTGGTGAGGTGGCTTACGACGACGGCCTTCTCCCCGGCGGATGATTCCGGGATGAGCAGTGGTGAGGCGAAGGAGCCGGAGGATCCCAGCGGGTTGGTGGACACGCACCCCGGGTTGGTGGACGGGCATGCCCTGATCTTTCTGCGCCATCATCACCATACACAGCAAACTCAACTAGCGGCTTACATGCATGCATGATCAGTAGCAGAACATCTCCAATTGCAGATTTGCAGTGGTAATTAGTAAAGATCGTCCATGTTAGTCCACCATGCACACGAAAAGGTCAAGAATAAGTGGCAAGCAATATATAAACGAACCCGAGCTTGTCAAGGCCAAGCTGCAGCTTCTGAGACTGCGCGTAAGGAGTGGAGGAGGCGAAGGGCTTTCCCTGTTGGGGAGGAGGACGGACGAACGGGACGGCCTGAGCGGCGGCCGGAGCGACGATGGCAGCGGGGCCGCCAGCGCCGCAGACGAGCGCGGCCGTGAGCGCTACCTTCGCGACGGAGGAGAGGAGCCGCGTCCGGATTGGTGCCACTGCTGGAGCCGGCGGAGGACCGCGCGGCGGCGCCGGAGCAGTTGTGCCCAGCGACATCTCTCCCGGCCTCTTGTCGCCGCCCTCGGCCCTTCACGAATCACGACAACGGTCTTATCTCTCCTCCGCCCTACGCGCCACTCGATTGGAATTGGACCGGACCGTATGCAATAATGGGCCGGGCCGGATAAACTTCTCCTGGCCTTAGTTTCACCTGGGTTAACTTCTTCTTTCCTTTTTTTTGTCGGGAAGAATTGGAATTTCGTGACGAACTGTGAGTCCATGGGCCGCAAAAACCAGCCCGCACGTGCACGCACGTATTTAGGTTGGCGAGGCATCGATGCGCGGTGCTCGTAAACGCGAAGATAGATAAAGAGCCAGCCATGGTCGGCACAAGAGATCAAGCATGGTGTTGCAACTGAACTTGTGCACGTGAACTGGTCGAGCCCCCAAGCTTTTTGCAGCGTGTGATTCCTCGTATATATGCTAATGTTTAGATACACAGTATGACCATTTCATGTCGAGCACGAGTCCTGTTCGCTTAAACTTATCAGCCATACCATTTCAGCAAAATAACAGTATTTTTCTCTCAGAACAAATCAGCATTAACATCAGCATCAACCGTTTTTCTAGCCAGCCGAACATGACCGTAGTTTTTTGGCAGGCAACTTCGGGGGAAGTCGGTTTTTTGACCGTCGATCATGGCCCTGCACCAAAAAAATTGCTAGGACTAGAATGATCTTGGGTGGAGCGACTTGGGGCTGTGCTGACACAGCCGCACAACACATGTCCGCGTACACACACCCACAGGGACAAAGACACGACATGGTGGTTGTGCGTCATGAGGCTTTTCCCTGTGTGCTATTATAAATGTGCTATATTCCTACGTGTCACTAAAAAGTTCACACGGACTCTGGTGCCATGACGCTAAACTTTTTTGTCCTCCACGCCATTTCGTTCGCTTTCTGTTAGGTTTCCACCGTTTTACAGCCCTGACATATGGGCCTGTTGAGGGTACGACCCCGGATACCCACGACAAACTACATGGGCTGCGCTCCCAGAGGCGGTCCAGCCCACAATACGAAGACCTACGGTGCATGACACTGCTCGGCATGCACCGCAAGACATCAAGGGTGATATCCTGAAGATATTATGAGATCTGTTAGAATACGTTCGATCCCATGATTCATATAATTTGTTATTACTTTCCGGTTATCTCCTAAATCTAACCGACTTAACCCTGCCCCCAGACTATATAAGGCGGGCAGGGACCTCCTCAAAACACACGCAACATCATACGAAGCCAATACAAACTAACATACCATAGGAGTAGGGTATTACGTCGCGCTGACGGTCCGAACCTGTCTAACTCTTGTGTCTCTGTTACCTTCTTGTTCTCGATTACACACATCTCTGCCGATCAATCTACCTTCGTATTATACCCCTCGGAGGACTACCGATGATATTCTGTCGACAGTTGGCGTGCCAGGTAGGGGTGTGCGTGTTGTTTCCATGTCGAACAACATGGTACGTTTTGCAGGCTCTTCATCCTCCCCGCAGCCCGGCCAGATCTTCACGGTCGGATCGATCTCCTGGATCATCAATGTCGACGAAGACGAAGAGATCATCGAGCCGGTGCAGATCGATTCTGCGCCGACCACCCCAACACCTGCGACTGCAGATCCGATCTCAGAACTACCTCCGAGGTCGTCTTCATCAACAATTCGTCGCCCGCTCCCCCCGCTACCCGAGGAAGCGGATCAGCAACGACGATCTGATCGCATCCATCGATCAGGTTGGCCAGAAGCTCGCCGACTGCCTCTCCATCGTAGAATCGGCTCTGACCACTCTGGTTCAGCGCCGACTACCCTCCGATTCAGATCCATCGGAGGCCGATCAGGAAACTCCAAGGGTTATGGCCCAACCCTTTGGGCTCACCAGCGTCGCCACCTCCTACAAAGGTGCCCTAAAAGGGAAATTCACCGACCAGGTGGGAGACATCTATCCTCTCGGGGACCAAATCACCGACCAGCTCTCGCTGACTGTCAACATGCTGCACATCGGCCGATGCCCCGAAGCATCCCTCCACATCATCCTAGAGGAGAATCTAGACTCCGAGTCCTTGGGCTCCACGGAGACTGTCGTCGAAACCGCCGCCGTCCAATCTCCTTTCCCACCCTTCCGAGGAGGTGGATTTTTTAACGTCAGCGTCGACAACCCTCCATAGGATGGAGAGACCGACGAGGACCATGCTGCTCGTGTCAATAGGAACGCCAATCATGCGCAGCGCCGAGCAAATGAGGCTACCATTGTGCTAGCCGAGGCTGCTCGCAATGAACAGCTCGACTCACAAGGGAGGTCACGCCCACACCAACGCAACCTCGATGATGAATTTGTCCGTGTCGACGGCCACGATGTCTACAAGACCCCAAGCGCCAACTTGGTCGTGGCCACCAATGAGCTCGCCTGGCTCGAGCAAACGCCAGAAGTCGCCAAGGTCGCCACAATGCTCAAAGCTGCACACTGTCAGGTCAACGAGATCCGTCAGGATCAGAGACCTTCCTACTCGACGAGCTCGATTCACCGATCCGCCGCACCAAGATCCAATGACCGCCCAGCAGAAGTTGTTTCGCCGACCATCATCGTGATGATGGATAACCCCTCTAGGGGGAGCTAGAGGGAACCGCATCGACTACCCTCGCCAACATGACCAAGAAGTCGACCAAGATGTCCGAGCGCACATCAACAATCTTCGGGATGCACGACGTCATATCGATGGGCGCTGTTTCTCTCGCCATGAAGAAGAAGTACGCTGGCGTCAAGAGTACGAGCAAGAGTTCGGTAATCCGGACACAACCCTCTAGCCACTTAACGCCGCCAATACCGCCGATCACGACGGTGACGATCCCGAAGGGCCCCGAGCATTCATGAGGGCACTCCGAACACTCCAGTGGCCCCGTGGTTTCAAAATCACCAGGGTCGAGCCCTACTAGGGGCGGATGAACCCCACACAGTGGCTACAAGCTTATGCCACCACCGTGCGCGCCGCCGGGGGAGATACCAGTGTCATGGCAAACTATCTTCCCATCATGCTCATGCCAACTGCAATGAACTGGCTCACGAGCCTCGCCTTGGATTTCATGGCCAAGTTCATGGCCGTACCACACTACGCCTATCTGGTGTTGAAGATGCCTTCGCCTGCAGGAGTTCTGGCCCTATGGGCCAACCTCTCCATCGCCTATGTCTGCGAGACAGAGAATCTCACCCTCGCCGAAGCCACTGACCTCTCCATCCAGATGGGTAGCATGGTCACCGATGCCAAGACGGTGCCCGCTAATGACCTAGAGATCCTAGCGCTAGAGCCTCCTCGCGCCTCCGCCAAGTCCAAGGAAACAAAGGAGGTCGACCTTGGCCTCGACGACCCCACCAAGACCGTCAAGATTAGGGCTCACCTCGACCCCAAATAGGAAAGCACGCTCATCTCCTTCCTACATGCCAACGCCAATGTGTTTGCTTGGAAACCTACAGACATGCTGGGGGTACCGCGGGAGAAGATCGAGCACTCCTTGAATGTCTCGCCGACTACCAAATCGATCAAGCAGAAACTCCGATGATTCGCGCCAAACAAGAAGGAGGCTATTAGGGTAGAAATAAAATGGCTCCAAGCTACCGGATTTATTAAAAAAGTGTATCATCCTGAGTGGTTAGCAAACCCTGTTCTTGTTCAAAAAAGAAAAGAATGGAGAATGTGCACCGATCTCAACAAACACTGCCCTAAAGACCCCTTCGGTCTGCCTCGGATAGACGAGGTTGTAGACTCCACCACCGACTATGAACTGTTCTCCTTCCTCGACTGTTACTCCAGCTATCACCAGATATCCCTCAAAGAAGATGACCAGATCAAAACATCGTTCATCACGCCTTTCGGTGCGTATTGCTATACCACCATGTCCTTCGGACTCAAGAACATCGGGGCGACCTACCAATGGGCCATCCAGATGTGCCTTGACCAACAGATGTGCCGCAACGTCGAAGCTTACATCGACGACATGGTCATAAAATCCAAAATCGCCGACAATCTTATCGCCGACCTCGAAGAAACGTTCGCTAACCTGAAAAGATACAGATGGAAGTTGAACCTTTCAAGGTGCATCTTTGGAGTTCCATCCGGCATACTCCTGGGCTACATCATCAGCGCCCGCGGTATCGAACCCAACCCCAACAAGGTCTCTGCCATCACCAATATGAAACGGCTAGCCTACGTAAAGGATATACAGAAGCTCACAGTGTGCATGGCTGCTCTCAGCCGCTTTATATCGCGCCTCGGCGAAAAGGGACTACTGTTCTTCAAACTACTCAAGGCCTCTAAGCGCTTCTCCTGGTCGAAGGAGGCTGATAAGCTTTCGAGCAGCTCAAGTTGTTTCTAACGAAGCCTCCGATCATGACGGCGCCTCAACCAGACAAAACCCTACTAATCTACATCACCGCCACTTCTCGCGTCGTTAGCACAACTATCGTCGTCGAGCGCGAGGAAGTCAGACATGCCTATAAGGTGCAATGTCCGGTCTACTTCATCAGCGAGGTTCTTAATGAGTCCAAAACTCATTACCCTCAGGTTCAGAAGCTGTTATATGCCATTCTGATCACGTCGCATAAGCTCTGCCATTACTTCGAGTACTACAAGATCGTCGTGGTCACCGAGTTCCCTCTAGGGGACATCCTCCGCAATAAAGAGACCAATGGCCGCATCATCAAGTGGGCTATCAAGCTCAGCACTTACTCCATCGAATTCAGAAGCAGGCCTACTATTAAGTCACAGGCGCTGGCTGACTTCGTCGCTAAGTGGACTAAGATCCAAGAGCCCATCCCCGCTACTTGCCCCGAGCACTGGGTGATGTACTTCGATAGTGCCCTCAACATCAACGGTGCTGGTGCTGGCATTTTATTCATTATGCCGACCAAGGACAAGCTCCAATACATCCTCCGAATTCATTTTCCAGCCTCCAACAACACCGCAGAATGTGAAGCATGTCTCCACGGACTCCGTATAGCCATCGAGC